CGCCAGAGGTTCGGCCATTTTTAAAACGTGAATGCCACACAAAAGTTTGCGGACTCCCCAAATGTTTGCTTTAGCATTTCATAGGTTTCCTTAGCCGTTTTGGCGAGTCTTTGGCAAAATTTGATTTGTTCATGAAAATCCGCCATTCCGAAATCGCAGGAGGGTCGGTGTAATGCACTACCAAAACGCCCGTAACTAAGAAACAAATGCTAATTCGATGATGCCGGCTGGCACACTGATTCACTATGAATGTAGGCCGCACCCCCTAAAGGCAGAAGCTCGTACTACATCCGGTTCGCCCGCTATTGACACAGTTGGGAAACTTTCCGATCGCACCTCGTAGTACATACATGACAATGTCAGATTTTATGCAATTATGAAACAAACTTTTCTAGCTCAAGTCCTAGAAAAAATTAAAAGCCTACTTTTCTTAACAAATGTTACATATTTTTTAAAAATCACCAAACAAAATGTCTTTATCTTGAATTAAATAGTACTAAAACTGTCCCACCTCTTCTAAGTTTTTGTAGTTCCCCCAGTGGCCTAATTAATTGTATAGTATTAAAAGTACATAAGTTGCTGCTTCTGGTTTTATGATATTTGTACCAAGTTTCGTGGTAAAGTAACCTCTTGCCTCTCGTCCCATATATCAGAAAGAGTGACTATCAGCCAACACACAGACCTAAATTCTGTAGGTGGGAGGGGTACAGCAACCACAACCAATATGCAGGTTGAAGACAGTTTCCAGGAACAAATGTGCTCAAAATCTACTAGGGCATCAGTATGTAAAGTATTCTTTCCTTAAAGAATCTATAATTATTTTAGATTAAGACATGGAGCAACTGAATTATAATTCCACTAACTCATCAGGATGTTCTTAACAAACTGCAAAGACTTGTAATACAGCGTCAGATGCATAAAATAAATATGAGTGAAATATTCAAATATTTTCAGTCAAGAGTAAACTTAAATCAAGATGACATTAGTAAACTCTTACTTGAAGATTCTGAATCTTAAAGCAAATGAATGTAAGGAATCGTAAAGTAGTCTAAAAAATAAAGCAAAATCTTAGATGTGATGTTTGGTGATTTTTTGTGTTATATAAACAACTGCTGTACCTGCGATTCTGCTATACCAACAGTCCAATATTTTGGCAAACTTTTTAGACTGTTATCAAGCACTACAATAACACACTTCCACTGTACCTGTAATAAATTACCATTCTTTAAGCAAAGGCCATGTCATATCACAGGCTGTCCAATGCTTCTCACCAGAAACGAAGATAATGCAGGTGGGAACCGTGAGGGGTACAGTAAGATCAGGACAGCTGTATCAGAATCCACACACTCATGTCCATTAACAGCTGAAGTGACAATTCCCACCCTACAATTAACATTATTAGAGCCTCTACAAATCAGCTACATCATACTGTATGTGGTTTGTCTAAAAAAATTTAAAAAAGTAAAGCTGTCCCACTATACATCATGTAGGTGCTTGTGGGGAGAGGCGGTATAGCTACTATTTCTTCTTGACCTCAGCACTGAATAGGGGTGAATGGTCAGCATCATGCCCCGACCGTGCTTTAACACCCGGTACCCACTGAATAGGAGGTTGGGTGGACCCCAGAACCGGTCTGGACGCAGAGGCTAGAGGAAAAATCCTCTGCCCCTATTGTGGATCGAACCCAGGTTGTCCAGTCCTCAGCCAGTAGCTACACTGACTGAGCTATGCCAGCTCAGAAAACTCTAATGCATTTTGTTTGTGTAGAGAGAGAGAAAAAAAATTACTGCATTTGGTCAATCACTTCATTGGCACAAAATGTATTGAAGTCTACAGCAAACACAGTATACGTAATTTTATGGAAATCGTCACGTATACTTCTACCTATAATATAACAAATCTTCATTAAAGTACAATGCAGGTAGCCCTCGATTTATGCCGGGGATGTGTTCCTGGACGAACCAGCATAAACGGAATTGGCGTAAATTGAAAGTCTTTTATAATGTAAATCAATGGGAAGTCAATGCTATGCATTCCCAGCACCCAAACATTGACAATTAATATAATGGCATAAAGCTCTGAAATAACGTAAATAAAATAAAGGGAATTTAAAAAATATATTTTATACACTTATAATCGGCAATTCGTTGTCCCCGTGATTGACTGCGATTCTTTCATGTGATTGATGTGTACAGTCATCTCTGCTGTTATGCGATAGTTGCGTTCATGTAAGACCTATAGAAAATCGTGAAGTAAAAATTACCCCGGTACCTCCACAGAGACTAAATTAGTCCTTTGAAAGTTTAAAGTGCCAGGAATGAAATTGCATAAGAGCAAAGTCGCATATGCAAAAGTTTGCATTTCACAAACAGCTTTTACCAATTCATCGATCTCATTGGAGCACACTCACGTTAACGAAACATACGTAATTGCAGAGATGACTGTATTTATAATTTTTATTCAAAATCAGCGATGTAAGAATTACGATTTAGTATAAGAATCAGTACGAGATACGTTGTAAAACATTATAAATAATAGTAAAATATATTTTTTTCACTTTTTGACTTGCTGGTTTCAAAATCGGCACAAATTGAGGGCTACCTGTATTTAAACATACCTGTTGTCATCCCTGTCAATGCCAGTGTGTCCATCATTGGCCAAGCTACGCAGCCGGTCCAGGAGACTTGGTTTCTCAGACTTCTCTCCTTGCTGCTGTTGAGGTAGCACCTGGTCTGTCCATGGACTAGGAACTTGCTGACGGTCCTCATTGTGATGCTGAGGCTCTCTCCAGTCTCGATCTCTGTCTCTCTCCCTATCTCTGTCACGATCACGATCACGGTCCCTGTCTCGATCCCTACCCTTGTCACGGTCCCTATCACGATCACCCCATCTACTCCTTTCTCTGTCCCTATCCCTGTCACGATCTCTATCACGGTCCCTAT